ATGTTGCATCTTCTGGTTCGGGTTTGTGCAAAGCACCTGGGCCACCTGCCTACAGGGAGAAGCTGCTGTGGTCCTCCAAGTCAATGCAGGTTTATTTATCATCATGCAAGTTTCTTCTTGTCTTGCACAACTTTGATTATTCAAGTAGTTCAGAAGCCCCAACAGACACCCAAACACTGCTTCCCATCTGTTGGCAGATGTGGTCTGTCATGAACTTCCTGCCCCTCTTCTAAAAGATCTACACTGCATTCTTTGCAGGACCAACTCAGGACTGTAGGAAGTTGCTTTCTACTGAGTCACACCAATGGTCCACTCAGCTCGTTCTTGCCTACACTGGCTGGTAGCAGCTCTCTGGGGTTTCAGACAGGAAGTCCCTCTCAGCCCTACCTGGAGATGTCAGGGATTGAACCCAGAGCCTGCTGAAGGCAAAGTAGATGCTCTACCACTGAGTACAGTCATACCTTGGAAGTCAAACAGAATCCTTTCCGGAAATCCGTTCGACTTCCAAAACTTTCAGAAACCAAAGCACGGCTTCTGATTGGCTGCAGGAAGCTCCTGCAGCCAATCGGAAGCCACGGAAGCCCCGTCAGACGTTCAGCTTCCAAAAATAGTTCACAAACTGGAATAGTCACTTTGTGGCGTTTGGGAGCCAAAATGTTCAAGAACTAAGCTGTTCAAAAACCAAGGTACGACTGTATGTAGCCAGCCCCTATAAGACTTGGGCCCAGAGTCTTCTAGGGAGCTTTTCCTTCTGCATGTGTTTATTTATTGAAAACATTTCCCGTTTTTCAGTCTGGGGGAGGGGGTCCCCAGGGGGGTTACATGAAATGTTTGGAACAAATAACATTTTCAGAAGCGGCAGTGTAGTGGCTGTTGCCAGCACCCAGTGGAGAGAGGGTGCTCACCAGCCCAGCCCTCACCACTGACACCACTGGCGCGACCCCATCCCCACAGGAGCAAAGCAGGGCAGCGCTGAGCCGCCTGCACGGGGGGGGGGGGGCTGGCTGACACAGCCTTTGGCAGGCAGAGAGGAACACTGCGTCAGGTGCCTGGTTCACACCCCCTTAAAAATTGTGCACCTGGGGCCATGGGCCCTTGGCACTCCCCACACCTTGCTCTTGGGGTATCCGTCCCCTTTGCACAATCAAATTTCACATGGATTCTTCAACAATGCTGGCACCGCCATTTCATTGAGGGAGAAGAGGGAAGCAGAGAGATTTAACTGGCTCTGCTGAGAAACCTGCTGCCACCTAGCACAGATTATTCCATGAGGTCACCTGACCAGTTTCCACCCTGGTTGGTTGTTAACTGTAGTTCTGAGCTTGCTTTATCTCCCTCCTCCCTTCCCATCCCCTTTTCCTTTAGTGTGTCCCCTTCCGTACAGCAGGCTAGAGGGCAGGAACTGCTTGGGGGTTTAGTTTGGTTTTGTGATGTGTAAGTCACTCTGGGAGCCTTTGGGGTTGAAGAGCAAATGCTTTAACATCACCGGCTCCACTGTCTTGGCTGTTGGCACATCTACACTCCTGGACGCCTTCCCTGGCATTTACAAACTCCCCTCATCCTCTGCCGCCCCCCCCCCCCTTGGGGAAAAAAGACTTGAAAGGCTCCCTGGTGTGTGCTTGGTTGTGGTGTATTTGTGCTGCACACAACAGTTTCTGCAGTTTGCCAATGTGCCCAGGGCTCCAGAAAGCTTGGTGACCCCTGATGTGAATGAATGAATGAAAGAATGAATGAATATGCAGCCTTGCTTCATGCTAAAAGGCTTGATGACTTGGGTCTAGTTTTATACAGCCAGCTTTTCTGATTTATGCCTGACTATTGATTTTTCTTTTAATGGAAGAAAAAGAAATAGTGTGCCAAATAAAAATTGCAGTATTGGCTCAGGAAACACTCTAGACCTTTCCTCCCCACCCCACTCCAGCCCAGCACGGGCCAAGGATGCAGTAAAAAATGGTGCTGGTCAGGGTTTTATCTGGCAAGGAATTCCTAACTGGGAACCATTTACTCTTGAGAAGAGTAGGAAATGATGTCTGTCTTTTTCTTATTGTGTTTTTAACAGCCACACAACCCGCAGACATTGAATAAATCTGCACCACCACCCTCAGAAGGGAGAGACTTGCAGCACTGAAATTTCACGGAGGGTGCCACCTGATGCACGCACACACCCAAGAGCAGGTCTAACCAACTCTGTGGGCCTTGTGAGTAAATATGCAAAGGACCAGGCTGAAGAGGTCACTCTTCACTGTGGCAGCAGGGAGGTCAATGCAGAGCACATGCTTTGTATGCAGAAGGTCCCAGGCTCAATCTCTGGCCTCTCCAGGCAGTGTTTTTAAATGTTTTTGTTCTTAAATGTTTTTGTTTTTTCTCTTTATTGTTGCGCAGTATTGTTTTTTTTATTTTGCTTTTTATTCTTTGATGTATTGTAACTTCTTATTGCCTTTCTTTTTCTTTTCTTTTTTTTGTAATTGTTAAACTTTTAATAAATATCTTTAAAAAAAAGAAAGAAAGCTGCCGTTTCCCAATGACCCCAGGACCACGGTACCTATGTGCTGAGGAGGCGGTGTAGAGGCTCGGCTAGTGTTGCTTTGTGGTGCAGGAACATGTTGTAGAAGTTCAGCAGCGCCAGGAACGCCTGCAACTCCACCTTGCTTTTTGGAATCGGGGCCTGCTGAATGGCCCGGATCTTGGATGCCGTCGGGTGAAGACTGGAGGCGTCGATAAGGTAGCCCAGCTGTGGAACGGCGATCTGGCACTTTTCTTTTTTCAACTTTTTTCACCTCCTGGAACCTGGTCAGCACAGCGTGGATGCGCTCAAACAGCTGCTGATTTGAGTCTGCGGATACCAAGACATCATCAAAATATGGCACCACACCCGGGCGCCCCTGCAGGAGATGCTCCATGAGGCTTTGAAAGATGCCAGGAGCTACACTTGCCCCAAACTGCAAACGGCGGCACCGGAAAGCCCCTTGGTGGGTGACGATCGTCTGGGCTTCAGCAGTGGCGTCATCAACAGGCAGTTATTGATAGGCTTGGGCAAGGCCAGTTTAGCGAAGACCCTACCCTCACCCAGAGAATTCAGCAGGTGGTGGACAACGAGAACTGGGTCCTCACCAGAAACATGGTCCTCACCAGAAAGATATGTAAGGAGTTGGGTATCTTGCCAGATACGCCACTTAGCCCCCCGGGACCTGGAAAGAGACAAAGTAAAATTATAAATTATTTCCCTAAGAGGGAGGAATGCATGAGTGAACAAATTGAACTAATTATTGACGAAGTCACTCCTCCCCCCCTTACTTATCTTGACCGGTCACATTACTTCAAAGAGCTTCAACAAAACTCTGGAAACACAAATTCCCCAAGAAGCTTGGCGCAAGAGCTAGTTCTAGCGGAGAAACTTGAGGAAAATATTTCTGTCACCTATAATCAGCGGCCCCTGGCAGAATTAACAACATGCCACCAAGACCAGGCGCCCATTTCTAAATATACTCAAACTGAACCGAGTGATGGCCATTTTCAGGCCCACCTCCAAGATATAAATACAGACCTTTCCAACATAAAAAATTACTTGACAATAACAAATGGGTTATTGCTGACCCTTGTGGAAAATTTTATTCCCCAACCAAAAGAGACAACAGCAACTGATGCACCCCAAGTGCATAAACCAGATGAACTTGTGCATAACCCAGATGAACCTGTGAAGATGAGACAAGCAGTAACAACCAAGAAATTGCAAAAAAATAGACCAAAAGCCAGGGAAAAGAAAACTAAGAACATTAAAACAACAAGGAAAATAAAGATAAGCCGACATAAACAATGGCAGAAATTATTTAATCTACTCCCATCGGACTCAAACAAATCTGCTGCACGAGATAAAAAAGAGAAAGGCAGGAAGGGGAAAAAGAAGTCATCGCCACAGCTAATGGCTAAGGTTCCCGCAAACTCAAGCTGGACCTCTTCTGAAGGCGGGCGGGGGGTGAAAGTCTATGCTCCCCCCTGCCTGCCTTCAAAAGCCGTCCGGGACAGCGGAGAAACACAGCGTGTTTCTCCGCTCTCCCGGGAAGGCAGGCAGGGGGGAGCAAAGACTTTCGCCCCCCGCCCGCCTTCAGAAGGTGTTCCCGCCCCACCGCCCGGCTTCGGAGGAGCCTTCCGAAGCCCGGCGGCAGCGGGAGGAGGTATTCCCGCCCCGCCGCCAGGCTTCGGAGGAGGTCCGAGGACAGTGGGGAAGACGCGCTGCGCTTCCCCGCTGTCCGGGAGATTTCCCTATGGGCTGTCGTCTTGCGAAGCAAGCCCATAGGGAAATTCGTCTTGCGAAGCGCCTCCAAAACGGAAAACCCTTTCGTCTAGCGGGTTTTCCGTCTTGCGAGGCGTTCGTCTTGCGAGGTACCACTGTACATAACATGCAGCCTGATCCTAGACACGCTGTCTTGGAAATGAGATTGCTCCAAGCAAGTATGGCCAGGACTTCAACCTTATGAGCTGCAATTTTACTTACCTCTTGCATTCATAACCCATCTTAGAAGGAGCTCAAGGTGACATCCTGCCCTTGCTTCTCCCTGCTCCTTTTATCCTCTCAGCCACCTCGCGAGAGCGACTGGCCCAAGGGGCGCTCGAGGGCGTTGGAGCCTCGGTCTCCTCGTTCTCGGTCCCAGCTCCGGAGATGGGAAGGCGGCTTCCCTTCCTCCAGAAGCTGCTCCGGGGGCCGAGGGGTCCCTGCTCTCCTGCCCCAAGTCCAGCCCAGAGGGAACAGGCGCAGGCACGAGGGGGCTTCTGGGGGACTTGGCCGGCTTGCCGCTGAGTAAGGCTGCCGCAAAAGGCCGGCCGAGGAGACGGACGCGCCTCTCCTCGCTACTCAGCGGTAAGTCCTCCTGGAGTCCATGGGGTTTACTCCCCGGTAAGTGGGGGGGGGCTTCGCGGGGGGGGGCGGGCTCCGAGCGGCGGCGGCGGCGGGGCGGGGCGGGGCGGGGGCGGGGGCGGGGCGAGGCTCCCTCGCGGCTCCGGCGCGGCGCTGCGGGAGCCACTCTCCGCCTGGGCTCCGGCTGCCTCAGCGAGAAGCTCGTGGCCCGCCGGGAGGAGGCTGCCCTTGGCCCGCCAGCCAGTCGAGGAGAGCCGCCCAGCCGCCCATTCTTTCCCGGGCCCCGCGCGGCCCTGCCGGGCTCCCGCTCCGCCGCCCGGCCCAGGAGGGACCCAGCCCAGCGGTAAGTCGCTCCAACGCGGCGGCGGCAGAAACTTTTCCCGGCCAACTTGGCGCTGGGCCGCCGGGCCTCCGGGAGACGCGGATCCGGGCGCGGGCGGCGAGGGGGCAGCGGCGGGGCTCGGCCAGAAGCTGGCCAACTTCCCGCGGCTGAAGCGGGTCCGCCATCGCCCCCGGCGTCGGGCTCCCGGCGGTGCAGCGCGGGCGGCGGCGGCGGCGGGGGGGGGGCCTGGGGCCAGCAGCCCGCCCTGGTGCTGCTTGGGGGCGGGAGGGGGCGGCGGGGGAGCGCGGCGGGGCCCCGGGAGGCGACTCGCCGCCGTCGGGGAAGCGGAGCAGGCTTGGCCGCCTCGCCCTCGCTTTGGACTGAGCTGCGAGCTGCGCGGCCGCATCCTGCTGGCTGGGAATCGCCGCTGGCGGCGGATCAGCGCCCGACGGGGCCGGGGAGGCAAGGGCGCTCTTGGCATGCTCAGTCGACCTGCGTTTAGCGGCTAAGCTGGTTCTAGGGATCGACTTGGTACGTTTTGGTTTTTAGGCAAACCCCTTTATGGGCGAACTGGGAATGGGGGCGCCTGCCCGCGGAAGCCTTTGCTTTAACCCCCGAATCCCGACCCCTCACGAAAGCGAAGTCGGCCTGAGGAGCTGCCTTGGCTCGCGGTCTCAGCTCTCTCCGCTCTCAGAATGAAGATTGTAAGCTCCTTGAGGGCAGAGAGTGTTCTCTCTCTTGCCGAGCATCAGGCAGCGGCTGAGTGGTAGTTATTCTAAAATAACTCCTGCCTTCGCCAGAGCAAGGCGTGATCTTTCTGTGGCTTGTGCTTGGGTTGCCTAAGGCAAAGGATCAGCAGCAGGTGGGGCCCCCAGCGCCCCCCCCCCACATCCTAGGAATATCAGCTGCCCTCCCAGTCGCCAAACTGGAGCGCTGCAGGGTCTGTGGAATTGGGACCTGGGGGCAGACCCTGAGGACTCTGCCCATCCTCCTGGGAAGCCAGGAGCTGAGCTTGCTTGTCCCTGTTGCTCAATGTGACTGTTGGTGCACCTTTTACACAGACCTAAGAAATGCTGGAAGCTGCCCCCTGTTAAAGTTTGAAATCTATTTGTTCTGAAAGGTTGGGACAAAGGGTGAGGTGTGTGAGCCAGCAGGTATCCAGAATCCCTCTGAGATGCCTGTTTCTTACTGGGTTCCTGGAAAAAACCCAACCCCACACCCCATCCTTTCCCTTATGAAGGCTGGTCCAGAGGAAGGAGCCCCGCTTCTCCCCTTGCTACTTTGCTTGGCTGAAGGGGAGGGAAGACTGCTCTTGATAGATGCAGAAAGAGCAGAGAGCCTCCTGACATCTTAAAGACTAAGAGATTTACTTGTGCTGTGATCTTTTGTGGACTCCAGAGCTGCCTCCATTAGCTGCACGAGGCCTCCTCCTCCATTGGCAGCAGTGGGCTCCAGGGTGGGGTGGGGGGAGGATATAAGCAGGGGAGCCCAAAGCCCCTGAAATGTAGGAGCTACAGTAAGTCTGTGACATTTCTGTGCAATGCCCAAATGTGTTCAAGGAAAGTGCAGGGTCACCTCTTCTTATCTTGTGCACAGGTTTGGCTCTCGTCCACAAGAGCTTAAGTTACAGTAAATCTGCTGAGGTACCGCTGGGCTCTTAGCTGCCTGCGAGAGACTCAGTGCAGTGATTCCTATGGAATTTGTTGACACAAACAGACTGAAGAGTGCCTGCTTTGGAGAGCTGACGAAACCGTATGTTGTGCAAATGAAAGCACATCTAGGTAAAGGTAAAGGTAAAGGTACCCCTGCCCGTACGGGCCAGTCTTAACAGACTCTAGGGTTGTGCGCCCATCTCACTCAAGAGGCCGGGGGCCAGCGCTGTCCGAAGACACTTCCGGGTCACGTGGCCAGCGTGACAAAGCTGCATCTGGCGAGCCAGAGCCGCACACGGAAACGCTGTTTACCTTCCCTATTTATCTACTTGCACCAGAAGGTGCTTTCGAACTGCTAGGTTGGCAGGCGCTGGGACCGAACAACGGGAGTGCACCCCGCCGCGGGGATTCGAACCGCCGACCTTTCGATCGGCATCCTATTTAGTTCAGTGGGGCTTATTCTCTAGTTACAGGGCTGGGAAACCTTGGTCCCAAGCCAGATGTTGCCCTCCAGGTCTCTGTTTGGCCCTTACCATTCTTCCCAGGTCACACGCCTCCTCTCCAGCCATATTCCACACCCTCCTTGAATGTTTTCCCCAGGCTAGAATGTGTCCTTGACCTCTGGTGGGTGCATAGAAACTTGGCTATCCTACAAAGTTAGATTTTTCTTCTTGTTTTTGCCTCTGACTCTGCCGACCACTGCCAAGTGGCCCCTAGAAGGCTGACCAGGAGTGAATGTGGCTTTGCAGCTGCAAAAGATTCTCTTCCCCTGCTTTCCTAGCATGTCCAGGAATTCAGCTGCAAGCTGACTTCCACTGCTATGGAAAGCAAAAAAAAAAAAAAAAAAGAAAAAAAAGAGCCTTCAGAGCACATCCTGGGACAGCCATAGTGCAATATAACAACTATGATTGTTCTTCTTTGAACGTTTATTTCTTGCCAACTGTGTGTTATGAGCTGGCCAGAATGTTGATGCAATGGAATTCATGCCCAGAAGGATTTAAGAGATGGCAAGTGCCTAGCAATTGAGAGGCAGCAGGGTAAAGCCTTTTGGGACCCTGGCACAACTGCCGAAACAGCCCACTATCATCTGTTTTATTGGCTACAATGAATGCTGCTTTTAAGGGTGACCTTGTGGGTGCACCTCCACCTGCAGGTGACTCATAGGCAACCCCCAAGACAAGTTTGTTTTGTGGAATGCTCTCCAGAGGTTGGCCTGGCACCTTCATTATATATTTTAGGTGCCAGGCAAAAATGTTCCTCTTCAACCAGGCCTATCCTACAGCTTTTTAAAGGTGGGCTTTTTAGTTTCCCCTTCCCTTTCTAGTTTCCCCTTCCCAGCCCCACTTGCCTTGTGCCTAATTCCATCTCCTCAACCACCAGATCCTGCCATCCCTTGTCCTCTGAAAGTCCCCTTCCTTTCCTACCCCTGTCTATTTAACAATAACAACAGCAACAACCTGTTATCTTGCTCTCTAATTCCCTTCAGACATGGGGCCCCTAAAAGGTTTGGGCCCCGTAGGCCAGTGCCTACTCTGCCTATTTGGTAATCCAGCTCTGGGAGACGCAGCTCAAGGGTCCTTGCACCAGGTGCTGTGATGGGCACCAACTTAGATGGCTTTTATGCAGGATTAGACAGATGCATAGAGGAAAGGGCTGTCAATGGCTGCTGGTCCTAATGGCTACTTGTGCCTCCAGGATCAGCATCCCTGAGTAACAGCTTACTAGAGGAGAGGAATATCAGGAGAGGCCTGGGGCTCCCCATGGGCCGTGGGGTAAGGGGGACTAGGGAGGCCTTTGGTGTGCGAGAGCCGAGCTCTTGCTATGCTCTGTAAGGAGTTGGCTGTCCCTGGCGAAACTGCTTGCCGTTGTCGGGGGTGGGGGATTCTTCTCTCCTTGACAGGATGGCACTTTTGGCTTGATGGGAATTTTCAGTTCCTTCTGTTTCTGAGCTGCTTTTCTTTGTGAGCTTCTCACTTGATGATTCAGAGTGGTGACTTCTGTGTGAATGAGCTATCACAGATCAAGCACCCCAAGAAAAAGTTGAATGGCTTCATGCATGGCCTCAAAAGCAGGGCTTTTCAATGGAATCATTTCACATGTTCGGCATGAGTGGATCAGTGGTCCTGCACCTTGACTAAGCAGGAAGTGACTCTTGCACCACAAATAAGGTTAAGTGTGAGTTAAATACTTGGCAGAGATTTTTCTCAAGTTGTGTTGGGCTTGAATTCAAGAGTTTGAAAACCAGGACTGTTTTACAGTGAGGGATAGCTAAAACTGGTGTATGTTTCAAACCTGCAAGCTTCCATCCTTTGTCAATGCGCAATTTAATTTTTATTCACTGCACATATCCCTCCAGCCCCAAATGGCTATTACACAATCCTGGGAACTAAGGAAAGATTCCAAATACCACCAGATCATAAACACACTCCCTAGAAATTTATCCCATTGATACTTCTATCTTGAAAAGGTGGGAACAGACCAAATAATAACTGGCACTTCTTTTGAAGTTTGGCATTCTGTAACTGAAGAGTATTTCTTGGAACAAGACCTATAAAAGACATAATTCTCTTGTTGCATTGTTCAGCCAGTTTTGATTTGTTCACTTCTGTTTAAACTGAACCCATCTAAATGTTAGATCCATGGAATTACAGAGTTGGATGGGACCACAAGGGTCATCTAGTCCAGCCGCCTGCAGTGCAGGAATCTTTTGACCAACGTGGGACTTGAACCCACAGTCCTGAGGTTAAGAGTCTCATGCTCTACCGACTGAACTTGCTTGACCAGTGTTCAGATTTTCCTGGGTTTTCTTTGACATATCCAGCATGGCTTAAAGGATGAAAGTTCAGCCACTGGGAATTGAGGGTTGTAGGTTCTTGGCAGATTTGTGAAAAAGGTTTGTGTATTTTATACCTACCTCTGAGTAAGGGATGGGGAATTTGTGGCCCTGCAGATGCTCTTGGACTCCCAACTTCAGTTAGCCCCACCCTGTGCCGCAGGAGCAGTCAGTCAACTCTTTATTAGCAAAAGCACAGCCTCCACACAGTTGGTTCAGTGTTAGACCTACTGGGCACACAGTTCACACTCCTTGGGGCCTTACTCCATGAAGATCAGTTGCCAAGACTGAAAGTTCCAACCTCCCCACAGCCAGCTAAGACCCCTCCTCTCCAGGGCTTTCCCCCAAGCAATTGGAGACTATGCGTGTGTGCAGCCAACCTCTCCTCCGCCCTTTTCATGCTTCTTCTGGTTCTGGGAGGCAAGGGGGGAGGGGAGCCTGTTGCAGCAGGAGACAGAAACATCCTGGCTCATCTCTGCCTCTTAGTCTCCCTCTTCCCACGCTTCAGCTTCTGCCTCTGATTCTGGACAGACTCT